CATACTTTTTAAAAAAAGAAAGGGTGAAGGAAATAAGAAACTTAAAAATTGGAGCAATCCCATTTTTAAAACCAAATGACGTCCATTTCATTTTGGAATTCTAGAGGGGCTAGAAAAGTTGAAGCCTCTCGTTATTTAAGGGAGTTTGTAAAAGACATTGATGTGTTCTATATTGGGCTTGTTGAAACTAAAGTTCAATCTTTTGATAGAGAAGAAGTCAATAAACTTATTGGCAGCAACTGGGAATTCTACAACGTTCCTTCGGAAGGATTATCCGGGGGAATTTTAGTGTGTTGGATGTCCAAATTTTGTACTTTCTCAGTTATTCATTCTTCACCTCAAATGATTATTGGTTTGGTTAAAATCCAGAATAAAGGAGAATGACTAATTGCTACTATTTATGGTTGCAAATATATTTATAAGAGAAGACAACTTTGGGAGGATCTACAAGTATTTTCTAATTCCAATATTCCCTTTATCATAGATGGAGATTTCAATTGTATTCTTTCTCAAGAAGATAAAAGAGGTGGGAAAAGATTTGTTTTTTCCCAAGGACCTTAAGATATGCAAATGTTTATGAAAAAAAATGATTTTCATGACATTGGTATTATAGGCCCCAAATACACTTGGTGTAATAACAAGAAAGGAGGAGCACGCATCCTTGAAAGGCTTGATCGTTGCTTGTTAAACTCTGCAGCCTTGAAGACCACTCAACCAACAGTGGTTCGGCATCTTGGTAGGATTGCTTCAGACCATTGTCCTATAGCTGTCAAACTTTTCAATTCTGGATTCAAAAGAACCATAATACAACAATTTGAAGACGTCTGGTCTACTTATCCAGCTTCTAAAGGAATCGTTGCCAAGTCTTGGAGCAAATTTGTTGGAGGAAACGAAGTACAAAGTCTGAATCTCAAATTTAAAAGAACGCTTAAAGCATTATTTTACTGGAGTAAAGCTAAACACGCCAACCTCAGTTTTTTGAAAGAAAAATTGAAAACAGAGATTGTTGAAATGCAAGAGGAGTAGACCTGTCAATTTCGGGTTACGGGTCGGGTTCGGGTCAACCCGAAATTGACCCGGTATTATTCGGGTTCGGGTCGACCCGACCCGTTTTTTCAAACGGGTCGATTTTCTGGACCCGAACCCGACCAGCTCTCTCTATAATACACACAGTCTCTCTCTCTCTCTCTCTATCTATCTATCTCTCGCACTCTCTATCTCTCGCTCTCTCTCCCTCTCCCTCTCCCTCTCTCTCTCTCTCTTCTCTCTCTCCCTTGCTCTCTCTATCTCTCCCTTCCTCTCTCTCTCCCCCCTCCTTGCTCTCTCTCTCTCTCCCTCTCTCTCTCCCTCTCTCTCCCTCTCTCTTTCTCTTTCTCTATGTCTCTCTCTTTCTCTCTCTATCACTCACTCTCTCCCTCTTTCTCTCGCTTTCTCCCTCTCTCTCTCTCTCACTCTCTCTCTCTCCCTCTCTCTCTTTCACTCTCTCTCCCTTTTCTCTCTCCCCTTTCTCTCTATGTCTCTCTCACTCTCTCTCCCCCCTCCTTGCTCTCTCTCTATCTCCCTTGTTCTCTCTCTCCCCCTTGCTCTCTCTCTCTCCCTTGCTCTCTCTCTCTCTCTCCCCCTTGCTCTCTCTCTCTCCCCTTGCTCTCTCTCTCTCTCTATCTATATATCTATCTATCTAGCTATCTCTCTCCCTCTCTCTCTCTCGCTTGTGCTCTCTCTCTCTACCTTGCTCTTTCTCTCTCACTCTCTCTCCCTATCTGTCTCTCTCTCTCCCTCCCTCTCTTTGTCTCCCATGCTCTCTCTCTCTCTCCCCTTTGCTCTATCTCTGTCCCTCTCTCTCTCTCCCCCTTGCTCTCTCTCTATCTCCCTTTCTCTCTCACTCTCACTCTATCTCTCTCTCTATCTTTCTCTCTCTAGTTCAACTCTCTCTCTCTTTCTTTTGTTCTCTCTTTGTCTCTCCCTTGCTCTCTCTCTCTCTCTCTCTCTCTCTCTCCCTTGCACTCTCTATCTCTCTCTCTCTCTCTCAATCACTACCTCTCTCTCTCTATCAATCTCTATCTCTCTATCTATCTATCTAGCTATCTCTCTCCCTCTCTCTCTCGCTTGCTCTCTCTCTCTACCTTGCTCTCTTTCTCTCTCCCTTATTCTCTCTCTCTCTCTTTCTCTCCCTCTCAATCGCTCCCTTGCCCTCGCTCTCTCCCTTGCCCTCTCTCTCTCTCTCTCCCTTGCTCTCATTTGTTCCCTTTTGTTTCTCTCTCTAGAGTGGTTTAGAGAGAGAAGCTTAGGGATGGCTAGAGGGGGTGGCCCTAGGTCACCTCCTCCAAATGGGGGAAATGGCGGTCGAGGGGGAGGCAAGAAGGAAGGGTTGGAAATCATTGGCAAGTGCTTGCCGATGAGGAGGTCGGCGGTGGTGAGCCGATGGCACATGGGGTTAGGGCGGGTTTCTTTCCCAAATCACCGGGCATTGGCCGGTTTTCGGCTGCTACAGCCAAGAGTGCCGCGCCTCTTGGTGTGTGGGAGGAGAAAGGGACGAAACCCCATGGTGCGGCTCGGCAGGGTATGGAAAATGGCCAAGGACTGGGTAAGACATCTGCGAACAAAGCCTCCTTAGTTGCGATGAAGGAGGCGCCGAACAAAACTTCCAAGCCTTTGACAGTTCGTGAACTCATTATGAGTTCTATAGGAATCTCCCCTACGGATGCGACTTCCTGGGAGGCTGAGGTTGGTCTGAGTCTAAATGCAGCTCAAGGAGTGAAAGAAGGTGGCTGTAGCTCGGGTACTGCCTCCCCTCACAGGAGTAGTTGCGGGATGGAGAAAAAACAGCTCGAGACTTCTGATCGGGAGGCTGGAGTGGCTAGCGACATGGAGGATTCAGCTGGTGCTTCGGGATCTCAGACGGATATGGAGAATGATCAAGGGGTTGGGGCTGAACAACAGCTTTTGGACCTTGAGGAGGCGGTATGCCCAGCATTTTGAGAGGCTAAGGCATGGGCTGATCTAGCCGAAGCTGAGGAGGCTACAGCCAAGTGGATGATTTGGGCTGTGATCATCTCTCTATGAATATTGATGTGTCCATGACGGAGAACAATTCTGATAGTCTTAGGTGTGAACCACCCATTGTTACAACCAACCTGTGCAAGGAAGCAACAGCAGAATGCCCACAACCTGTTTGTGGAAATGACCCCAAGCCTACTGCTGTAGAATGGCTGAAACTGCAGCCTCCTAAGGCCACTTCGATGCATCTCAGGGGCTCTCCTCTTAGCCCCTTCGCTTGGAACAAGGTGCAGAATGTCCCCCTTGACAAGATGCCAAAGGACCATTTCATGTCTATGGATGGTAAAACCATTGAGCCTGAAATCAGCTCGGTACAAGACAACATTGCTAAGCTTGAATTGGCCATTGTGGCCAAACTCATGGGACGGCGTATTTTCCTTCCCTTTTCTTGTCAAGGAGCTCAAAAAAAGATGGTCTCATTTTGGGGAGTTTGAGATCATCACCATTGGCCCGAACACGGTTATTTGTATCTTCCAAAGTGCTGCGGCTAGGGACACCGTTCTCTCTAGTGGTCCTTGGATCATAGCGGGTAATATCATTGGAATGGATAGATGGGAGTCTTCTTGTTCTCCCAACTCCCTGCATGGTCTCCGCTCGCCAATTTGGAACCGATTTCCCCAACTCCCCCTCATCTATTGGGACATCAATAATATCACTCGCATTGCTAATTCGCTTGGGGAGCCTCTATGGATGGATTCGCATACGAGTAAATGGGGGAGGTCTTCCTTTGCTAGAATTTGTGTCAAGATTGATCTATCAAAAAAGTTGTTACCCGGTGTTTGGATCAACGGCATCCACGGCAGATTTTTCCAACGGGTAGAATACGAGGGACTTACAAATTTCTGTTTTGATTGTGGCTTGATTGGCCATGCAAAAGGGAGTTGACTATCCAACAAATCGGCTAAAGCTCTGTCCCCAACTGGGAGTCGGACAGCCCAGCCCGTCCAAGACCAGCAAGGTGTGCAGCCGGCGGCCGGTCCCTCAGCAGACCAGAGACATCTACCTCAGCACAATCCCGCCGGCCAGGAGGTGCAAACGACTGATTCTCTTGGAGATTGGAACTTGGTGACTAGGAGAAGGAGGAACAAATTGAGAGCCCACATGGAGCAGCCTACTAAGGGCGGTAAGGAGGGGTCTGAAACACCTAGACCACCCCAACCTGCTCAGGGTAACAGTCAGCGGATGGAGGAGATCTCAAACAGAATTGTGAATTCCACTTGCCCCCTTCCTCAAGACGAAAGAGTTGTGTTCAATGTGGAACGACCAAAGCGTGATGATCCATCCTTCAGTATCAATCTTATGAAGAGACAACTCAAGGCACCTAAAACTTTCTTAGAGAAACAGCTCCTGCAGCTTGGACCTATTACCTCGCTTCCTAGGAAAAAGAGGAAGAATTTACAAGATGACATGGGCGGGGACTTTGTCCCCTTTGAGAATCAATGAGGCTTTACCCTTTTGTATGTCCTAAGGTGATATGGATGCTCACACCACTGCTGAAGCAATGGGATATCTCTCAGCCCCCGGGCTGTTTTAACCCTCTATTAGGTATCTCCCCCCTTTGAGGTGGTTCCCTGAGCACTCATGTTACTCTTTGGGCATACCTTTGGGGTAAGCCTCCTTGGGAATCAAAGGAGCTTTTCCTCTCCTTTTTTGTTTCTTTCTTTTTGGGTGTCATACGTGTATGGATGTTCTTAGTGTTCCAGCTCTTCCCACTTTTGTTTTTTGTCAGGGAAGACATAGCTTTTAGTTATCATACCATGTATGCTCGTTTAGTTTATCTTTATTAATGCAATATGCAACTTTCAGCTAAAATTATTTCTGAGAATCAAGTGGCTTTTATCAAAGGGAGATCCATTTCAGAACATATCTTGCTCACTCAATAAATCTTTCATAAATTTAGAAATTCCAAAGCAAGAAGAGGAATGATGGCAATAAAAGTAGACATGGAGCAAGCTTATGATAGTATGGGTTGGAGAACCTTGAAACAAGTTTTAGAACTTTATGGTTTTCCATGGTCTTTCATAAATCTCCTGCTATAATGTGTGGTGGACACTAGATATTCTATTATTGTAAATGGCTCTTATTCCAATTGGATACAGGTTGAATGTGGGTTCAGACAGGGATGCCCTTTATCCTCATACTTGTTTATTATGTGCTCTGAACTACTAACTGAAGCATTCAAAAGGAATGGAAGCAAGATAGGAGTGAAGGTGGCACCTAAAGCAGATATTGTCTCTCATCTTCAATATGCAGACAACATCATTAATTTTTCGGATGCTACTCGGAAAAATGCAAGGAAGATTAAGAAGATTTTGAAGAATTATAGTAGTTGGACTGGGCAAAAAATTAGTAATACGAAATCTTCTATGATTTTCGGCAAAGCTGTACAAAGAGGCATGTCTAAAGTCCTTTCCAAATTTATGGGTTTTAAAGTAGTGGATGAAATGAATTACCTTGGCATCAAAATGACTTTTAGAAGGCTCAAAGCTTCAGATTATCAAGATGTTCTGGAAAAAGCTTATGATAAACTTAACGGTTGGGGCAATCTAGCTCTTACTCTTGCTGGTAAACTACAATTAATCAAAACTTCTTTACTTTCTATCCCAGTTTTTATTTCTACTCACTCTCTTGTTCCCATGGGAGTGTTGAGAGATCTTGAAAAACTGTGTAGAAACTTTCTCTGGACAAAACAGGACAAAAGCTCGGGTATCCATTATGTTGAATGGAAACAACTTTGTAGGCAAATAAAGTTTGGAGGGCAAGGTGCAGTGTCTGCACCCGATAGAGTTGGCTCTTGGAGAGCAAAATTTGCTTGGAATTTGTTCTCAATCCCTGATTCATTGTTAAATAGAATTCTTATTGCCAAGTATGGCAAGAATTTCTGTTTTTCTGAAATTAAACTAGGGAGTTCTCCTACTTGGAAAATTATCAATAATGGTGGTAAATTCCTTCAACAAATTGTTAAATGGAAAGTTTCGGATGGTGAAAGCATTAATACCACTAAGGACATTTGGATCCTTGATAAATCTATTAACAAATGGCCTACCTTTGTCTCTAATATCCACGATGAACAAAGTTGTTTGAAGCATTACATTCATAATGGAAGCTGGAACTTCAATAATCTAAATCAATCTTTTGGAAAGGAATTAGTTGATCAAATTTCTTCTGTTCCAATCAATGTTGGAATTCAGGGAGACGATTTGGAGAATCTTTTCAAATACTCAGGTAAGTCTTTAGCTGCCTTAATCTCAAATCAAAGAAGCCTACATGAAGTAGAAGACGTAAATTGGAAATGGCTTAAAAAGTTGAAATTGAGACCTATAGTTAAAAAATTTTGGTGGAGATTTATACATAAAGCCAAGGTTTAAAATTGCGTATTCGGGTATTGAGGCGTTTTTCGTTCGTGAGGCGAGGCGTAAGCCTCAAGGCGATTTGAGGCGTAAGCCTCAAAATCAAAAAATTGCGTAAACATAAAATAATACATTTTGTATATACTAATGAGTAAATAATATATAAAACATAAAAATGCACAAGATAAATAGCAATGACATTAACATATCACATAAGAAGTTAGGAACTCACTAGTCATTAGCATTATCATCACTCATCAGTCATCACTAAGGGGGTCTTCATTTGAATCATCATTATGATGAGCTGCTCTCTCATCTTCCCCCTCTCCTATAGAGTCCAATATCTCCCAATCAGCTTCTTCT